TAAATTGTCAACTCCTGACAAGTGTTTTTTCCCCGTAACTTGTGGTCTCTCTTACATCAACTACTTTGCAGGGATTTTTTTCCAAACCTTATTGATTTTTATTTTGCTGTTAGCAGTGCTAGCCTCTCTACAATACTCCTGTATTTTTGAGTACCTCATCGTTTGATGGTGTTTCAGTGTTGATTTTAAAGATGGTTTCCACATGAAAGAAATTCCCCAAAGAACATCACATACCATGTCTGGAATAAAAGTGCAAGGGCATGATTAGATGTTCTTTCCCCTGTGACTGCTGGAAATTTGTGAAAGCATAGGCAAAATGTGATACAGCCTAGGTGTTGCTGCCAAGAATTGTAGTGATTATATCCTGCTGAGCAGAAACACTATCTTCCCTAAAAGGCAAAGATAGAGCAGAGTAGAGCAGTAGGTGGTGAGGTACAGATACCACAAATTATAAATTCTTGTCTATAGTCTTTAGCTCAGAATCTTTTAGAGTGTGGAGAATTCAGCTTTTTAGCTGTTTCTAGTGCATTTCTGCAAGGCACAGCCTTTCTGTATAAATCATTCCTTAAAATTAGGGCCTTATTCCATGGTTGCAGCCTTCTGTAGCTTTTCCTGTGTGACAGCCCATCCCTGTCATGTTTCACCTGCAAAAGGATAAATGATTTTTTGAGATTGTCTCAATTATGGGAGCTGTTCTGTCGTGAAACTGATGTTAGGAAGAAATCTGTGTGGGGAGGAAGGGATGGGTGAATCATTTTTCCTTACCCAGGGTGGGGAGCAGTTACAGAGCTCCTCAGTGGCTGCTGCTCTGCCTGTGCAGATTAAACCTTTTCCCATCACAGGTGACCCATAGGCAGGAGGTGTCTCCATGGCAAGAGTGCATTTGGCCTTGCTGCTGCCACCTCTTTTTTCTCCCACATTATCCATCCAGTGATGTCCCTGAGGTACAGCCTGAGCAGTCACCCGTATTTGCTTCCTCAACTGTCAGTCAAAAAAGGAATTCTAAGCTCCTGCTAACATTGCTTGTGTTGATTCTTTGCCTTGGATTAGCTGTAGATGCAAGGAATTATTTTTCTGTTGAGTAATGCCTGTTAAATGCAGCAAAAGAGGAATGATCCCTATGGACAGGAGTTTATGATAGCATAGGGCAGTGTAAGCAGTTGTCCAGAAGGAATCACTCACCTGGCATAATTCTTGGTGCTCTGCTAGTTGTTAGTAATGGACTGTGAAAATTTACAGTTGTAGTATGGACAGCACTAAATTATTTAAGCTGCATCTTTCATGAAAAAAAAAACTTTTTCAATTCCATTGGGGTTTTTTTGAGCTTGTTTGGTTGGGGGTTTTTTGAGATTAAGTATTATATTTACATTTTTGGATTTCATCTTTACTTCATGATGTAGTAAATGACATCGTTTGACACGATACGACATGTTACACATGGAATGCTGGGCTGCTCTGTGTGCTGAGACTCTGATCTGCTTCAGGCAGAAATTTCAGGCATGTTTGAGAAGGTAATTTTAATTACCACAATTAAAAACCCAGCCGTGTTTGACCTAAGTTATCTAAATATTGTTACACTCGGTCCACAGAAAAATTGTTTTTCCACTAATAATAAGCGTGAAACTATCAGTCAGCAATATATGTTCCAGCAGTAAGTATTTGCATCTAGGTTAGTACAGCAAAGATTTCTTATTTTATTTTTTTTTCCTCAGCAGCTGACTTTGCCTGAACAGTGACTTGAAGGTTTGCCAAGCCTCTGTCACAAAACAAGCTAGTGAGGACCTTTGGATGTCACTGTGCAAAGGATACTATTTTAACTGAACACATGTTCTCAGGACAAGGCTGATACTCTCAGAAGAGGTGCCAGGTGACAAAAATAGTTGTATTTTGTAGGACAGATAGAAAAGAATGCTGTGTCTTTCCAGATGGTATTCTGTTTTGTAGTTGTGGACGATTCAAGTTAAGGGCTTGGAGTTGTGGATGGCTTTCTAAATATGACTCCTGGAAGTGTATCTGGTCTCACTATTTGGTTTGATATCCTTAGGAGAGAAGATACTGAAACGTAAGCGGACTGCCTGTGTGTTACCACACAATTCAAAGCAGCTAGAAGGCTGTTTGTAGTAGTCAACACCATGTGCTCATAAATGAGTGAAGTGTCTTGTTATTTTGGGAAGTGCTACGAAGTATTTTTAGTATATTCTTTTTCTTTTCTTTTTTAATTGGATGAAACATGATATCAGATTCAAACATTTTTGTTTGTTTTCATTTGTTCAGAGTGAAAAATAAAATCACACAATTTTACTACAAAGTAATATTTTATGTGCTGTTACATATGTGTATACAGCACGTATATACTCCATAGGATTGGGTATCTTCTAAAGTTTAAGCATCTCAGTGATTAATCTATGGAAGCTTTATGTTTTAGATTTAATAAAAACCCCAAACTAACACACTATTGTTGGCATATAATTCACAAAATATTACTCTGTTCTTAACTTTGCAAAACTCATTGCATTGCTTTTGAGAAGTTTCAGTATTTGACCTGTATACTTTCTTAATGTACCAAATTTGAAGGGTTTTTTTCTGACTTCAGTGTAGATTAATGTTTGCAGAGGTGCTAGATTGAAATAGAGTTTGCATTGAAGAATTCTCTTAAAGAAACCTCCAGTGACTTCCAGAATGTCTTCATGCTTAAGATAGGTTTGTATTCAAATTGCTGTCTTTAATATCTTCATTTTTATAGTTCAGTTTTAAAGACAAAATTAATTGTGGTCAATAAATTGATTTGGCTTTATAAAGCCATATATTTCCTGTTCAGCATGTCGAATGCTTGTGAGTTTTCTCTTGAGTAGAGAAAGAAATTCTGGCTCTGAAAAGTAAAGATCAAATCCCAGCTGCAATGAGGACTGTTTCTTTCTTCTGACTGTAGTGTCATGGTGTTGAGGTGGATATAGGAAAGCATTCATCAGTACTATAGTGGGAAAAGCAAAGGAAAAAAATTCATAACATGAAGTCCAGTGATAGTTCCTGATGTTGTCACTTGGTACTGCATGACATGGCATGGGTCACTGAGAGACTTTAACTGGAATAGGTTTGTGCTGGTGCCTCTCAATTCAGCCAGTCATATGTACAACTAATACAGAGCGGTATGTGAGAATCCCAAGGTATTCTGTAAGCACCAAAGATGACTTTGAAGTGATGTGGTCTGGATGGAGCAACCCAGGCAAAATAAACTTTAGATTCCGTAAGCTGTAAAGACTCTATATATGTGGTACTTATAGGAAGAATCATGACTGGGTATCTTTCCTGAGTTTATTAGATCACTGCCCAAACAAAACAAAAAAAAAATATCACAAGTTCAGATTTTATTTGTAATTGGTGTGCAGTATTTAATGTGTAGAATTGTTGATGGTTTTGGGTTTTGTGGTTGGTTTTTGTTTGTTTGTTTTAATAATTCATAACTGATCTTACTATTGAAGCTATCCAGTTTGTTAAGCAAAAGAAATGTTCCCTGAAACAGATAAATTGGACCTGGGGAGAATGGGGGGTGAGATGGGGGCGTAACAGTCTTGAAAGATTTTTAGAAATGGTAAGTCTTGTCATCTTATCTGGTTTTAGGTTATAAAATAAAAGAGAATAAATGTGCAGAAACACATCAGTGAGCAAGCTAGGGATTGAACTGAACTGAACTGAATGGGAAGAAATACTTTTTAAAGTTACAGAAGAGATTATAGTTGTGAGGAATTGGCTCCAGACTTCAGTAACTCATGGTACTGGGGTTTAAGCAATGAATTCTTTCCATTTGGTGTTATAATTCACAGTAAAACTTTGACCAAAAGCATGGAGTGCTTGGCAATTGTTTAACTTACTTTAATTGTTGATCATATGTCTTGATCTTAATACAGTTTGTTGTAATTTCAGATGAAATTTAAAGCATTGTGGTGCTATAAAAGAAAAGAGTTTAAAGTAATTTTTTTAATAGCCATGTTTACACTTTTTTTCCTTCTGCTTTTTTTCAAAAACATAGACAGCATTGTCCAGGATGCACATTGTGGTGCTATAAAAGAAAAAAGAGTTTAAAGTAATTTTTTTTAATAGCCATGTTTACACTTTTTTTCCTTCTGCTTTTTTTCAAAAACATAGACAGCATTGTCCAGGATGCCTCTCAGAAAATAAAGACAGTTATCTTTTTTCAGTGATTCAAAAAACTGGTGAAAGATTAAATGATACTTCATGGCAGCTGATGCTGGGACCCCTCAGTTTGATCTCAGAAGCTCTAGCTTAAGCCTTCCCTTACTTGAATTCCTGATGCAAATATCTGTAATAAATGCTTTCTTGATTAAATGTCCCAGTTTTTTACTTTTCTTCCAAACCATGATGTTGTTGGTTCATATTTAGTTCAGTTGTTGCCCTCAGTTTTGTTGTGACACATGAAGCCTGGCTCTTGTGAAAATCAATAGAAAGCCTGAAACCTGTTACTTGTGAAGGTTTTGTTCTCTTACAATTTAGCCAGAATTATATTCCTGTATTCTGTATTTTAAGTGCACACACGTGAAGGGAAACTTTTCTTTCTCTGCAAAGCAGCTGTTAGAGGCGGGAGTTGAACGGGGCCGGGCCAGCTGTTACCTGCCGTTACCAGCGGGTCTGGACTTACCCAGCCCTGTCCTTTGAAGTGCTGCAAGGATTGCAGCAGGATATGAACACTTTGTGGTCTTCCTCTTGATAAGGTTGTTAATTCTAAGTGAGCTTTTCATCCCAAACTGCTTTCATAACTATGAATTGTTTAGTAGAGAAATGATAACATCAGTGGCACTGGGCTGAAGTTTGTTTCCAGAAATTTGTTTAGAAATCCAGTTGTTTTATACAAAGTAAATCTGAATTAAACTGAAAAGCAGTCCTAAGTTTTCTGTAAGAGCAAGCCACTTTGTAAATGCTGTAGTATGTAGCACATTATTTACTTTCACTGTTTTGGGGCCTAATCCTACAATTATTTTATGCAGGTTTCACCTGGAACATCTCGTTCAAGTTACCCAGCTACCAGCTATCAGGACTCCAGCAACTGGGAATCTCTAATGAAAATCAAAGAAGGGCTGCTAAGACAGAAGGAGTTTGTTATTGATAGGTAAGTACCCAGCTCCTGCTGCATTAATTAGATTAGATGAAGTAAAACCTACAGTGTAGAAGCTGGCTTTCAAGGGGAACTACTTACTTAGTAAAGTTGTTAGGTTTCAGTCCAGCCACTATTTATGCACAAGTACGTAGGAGCTAATCCTGCTAAGAGAGAAGACTGGCAGCTGGCCTAAAGTCTTACACAAAGTTGGAAATGTATTTAGGCAGTTTAATGCCTCTGGAGTGGAAAAGGAGCAGTGCGCCCAACAGCCACTTCTGCTGTCAGGCTCCCCTCTTAGCTTCTTACCAGGCTTCAGGTTTGTACAGGACATCTTTCTGCTTGCAAGGTCTTGGAAGTGACTTCCAAGATGAAAATTGGTCAGCTGCATTGTGCTGATTTTCTTTTCCATCACAAGTACAGAATTGCAATATATTTGCAGCCAGTTGATAAAGCTTTGAGAAACTGGCCTTTGTAGTAATATTCAGCAGTAAAATCCTATTCAAGTCCTCATACAAATTGTTCCGATACAAAAAAAATTAACTCATTACATCCAGAGTCTTTATGTCAATAAATATATAACCTCATATTAAAATTGCTGTCAGTCTGAATGGGCCTTAATAGTAACTCACTGCCCAACTCATAGTTTATAGTACCAGGAGATACTAGATCTTGCCTGTGCAAGATCTGTTCATTTTTCTCCTGCAACAGAATGAGGAATTGCAGTGGCTGAAGGTGTTTCTGTCCCTTAGCACTCTGGCCAGTAGCTGTGGTGGCTTTTCAGTGATGGAAGTTGGCACTGGGTTCTCCAGTTGGATGTAGGATGTGTGTGTGTGTTTATCTGCTGCTGCAGCAAAGATGGGGCAGTTAGGAACTGAGGCATGGGCTCACCATCCCCCTCTGCCAGCTCTCCTGTGGAGGTGGTGATCTCCAAAGGGGTAAGAAGTTAAAATGGAAAAAATCTTTAGCAGTTGTTTACATCTCCTCTGTCAGAGCCTTTTGATCAGCTGCTTAAAGGCCATCTAAATTACAATGGGTTTTTTTCAGGCTTGCTGTGTCAGGAGTAATGCTGCAGAAGCAAACCTGCAGCCCACCTCCCGGAGCCCAGGCTGCCAGCAGTGTTCGTGAGTGCATTGCTCCTGATGGCTGGGGTGGCCTTCAGTGCCTCTGCTGGCCTTGCCATCCTGTGCGCTCTACATGAAGGCTTGTTACACACTGGCAGCTAAAAATGCAGTTGGTGTTGCTCTTCTCACACTCAAAGTGTGTTTACAGTTAAGGGAGAAGTTTCTGCAGTGACTGCAACCTGGCTGCCTGCTCATGTTACCTGATACTGTCCATGTGGAGGAAGAAAAGCTATTTCTTGATACCCAGTGACGGTGTGCTGGTTCTTTTCTTGTACAAGTAATTTCTTTTGTGTGACTTTCTGATAATGAATACAGTTCTTCAGGATTTCTTAAGGGAGAAGTTTCTGCAGTGACTGTTTGCAACCTGGCTGCCTGCTCATGTTACCTGATACTGTCCATGTGGAGGAAGAAAAGCTATTTCTTGATACCCAGTGACGGTGTGCTGGTTCTTTTCTTGTACAAGTAATTTCTTTTGTGTGACTTTCTGATAATGAATACAGTTCTTCAGGATTTCTCACCAGAAGTCCATTTAGATAATTTCTTTTCATTCAGCTGAAAAGGCAAAATACAGTTTTGAAGCTATTGAAATGGAACAGACCACTCAGTGATGTTACATATTCAAGTAGACACTTGGTGTTAAATATTGTAATTTTTAATAATGCAGTGTAACAATACATCACAGAACAGCCTTTTCTTTGAATACTGAATTTCCATTTGAGGAAAATATTAGCCTGAAAAGGTATTTTAAAATGAAATAGAAACTTCAGTGGATTTGTATTTTCAAGATTAGTACAAATTGATGTTGCATTTTTACAAAGTTTTAGCAACAGATTGTTTATTTTAATTTTTTTTAAGAAGAGGCAGTGATAAATAAAAGTACTTTTGGTTTCACCCATGAAGAAAATGGTACATATCTGCTGTGCAAAAACCTTGAAATAGAACTCCATTAAAAAGAATTTGTGTTACATTTCTCATTAGGTGGGGTGTTAATAAGGCTTAATTGTGAAAACTACCTTTCTTCAAGGCACAAAGCAGCACTAAATGAAAATGTAGTGTTACCTATATTTAGCACATGGCAACACAGGGTCTTCTTGTACTGAGTTCAGAATGGTGTTTGGGAGTAAACCTAAGTATTCCAGCTCTTGGTCTTCCTGAGCTTAATTTAAACTTCTTTTCAGAGTTTGAATTTCTTTGGGAATAGTGACCCAAAATTAAAAACATAAAGTTTTCTAAAGTGTAGTTAATTGAACATGGTGGTAGCTAAATTACAGAAAAAAAAATTATGCTTAGGGAAAATGGAGAAGAAAGTAATTTGTTGAATGAGGTTAGGTAGGAGGTTTTTGCTGAGAGGGCTCTTTGTGCATGTGGTTTTCCTGGAGTTATAAAAGGTGTAGTCTCCTTAAGTTGTATGCTGAATTTACAAGCTGGTAGTTGAGGGGACAGAAGCTCAGGAGAGAGGTGTTAACCTCCTGCTGCCTGGTAGCCAGAGGAGTAGGACAGCAGCTGGCATGGTGCCCCAGATCCAGCTGTTTGCTGCTGGCAAGTACAAGGAACAGCTGGATGGAAAAAGGCACACCAGGAACACCTCCCTCTGGCCCTTGTCACAAGCCTCTCTTTCACCCACAGGGTCATTAACCCTTTTTTTTTAAGGTTAAACACTCTTTTGTTGGGAACTGTACTGGTGTCCCACTTATTGAGGAAGTGGAGGATATTGACATCACGCACCTTGTTCTTCATAGCAGTGCTTAAATCTGTTGATAAGTAGGAAATGGATGCTCTGTACAGTCTGTTGTACCTTGGTCTTGTTAAAAAAGGGAGGAGGAGCAGAAGGAAGAAAGTGAAACATGCTTCCTTGCTTTCCTTCTTTCTGCACAAAGATAAAAAGGCAAAAAAAATCAGCCCTTTCAGACTAGATTATTAAATTTCTTGGTTTGTATTGGAAATCTACCAGATAGGAATAGTAGCAAGTAAGTTTCTAATAGTTATAAAAACAATTCAAGGAGTAATGCTTATCAGTGTGAATCATAATATTTGGGTACTTTGTTGTGTCACTAGAAATGCAAGCATTTTTAAGTTTTTGAAATCTCAAAGAGCCACTTGAGCCTGAGAATAGAACAAGTACCTTGATTTTGATCTGTATGCTGTGTTGAACAGCAGATTTAGTTATAGACAAATTAAATTGATGTATTTTGTGTAGTCTGTTTAGCACTTATTTAAGTAATACACAGCATAAATGAATGGGTTTTAAAGTGGTTTTGGTTTGCTTTTTAAAACTACTCTAGGAGTCACTGCTAATTTAATAAGTAGAAACCAGAAATGCTTTTTAAGTCTAGTCTTAAGAAAATGAGGGGAAGGTTCTACTTTCAGGCAGTGGGAACACAGTGCAAGAAAGCGAGCCTGCTCTGTGTGTGTGTGTACCAGAACACAGTGGCATTTCTTTAAGGTGTGTCTCATGGGTTTTTTACATAAGAACTGTTGCACAGGCCATGAATGAGGACTTAAGGATTTAGTCTGTAAGAGGAAATTTCCTGCTGCAACACTTATTACTGTAATGTCTGTCACCTGCTGTACAAAATAATTGGATTATATCATTTCCTTATTTCTCTGGCTGCTTAGTATGTAACACTGCATTGTATTTAGCACCAGAGGGAGCCAGCAGTGTTTGCATTGGTTTAGAAAATCACAGCATCACATTTTAATTCTTCATGTGGCTCCTCTGTTCCGTATATTAACACCACTGAAATTGCAGTGTTCGGTGCAATGCTGAATGTCTCTGGAGGCTGACCTGCCACTGTAGATATCTCTAGTGTGCTCCTGGCAGTTTGTGTGGCAGGGGCTGCATGAATAAATGCCAAATATCTGGACATATGACATAAGCTGCTGCAATAACACTGTGCATGCAGTTTCTCTTATGCAGACAGCATAAGAGCATTTGAGCAGCTTTTTCAGGAAAGGTAGGTTTGGAAGTACAATTTTAGTGAATAACTGTTATCCCTCAGAGTATAACAACATATACATTCTTAAAACACTTTCTAAGTCATTAACTTTTAAATCCAAATCTGAATTAGGAATAGAAGTTTTCACTGAGGCAAGAGAAGTAGATTGTCTTGTATCAAATTGTCTTGACTTCAGTAGATGACGTGGAGTGCTCTAATAGTGCTCATTTTAATGCTAGTATAAAGTTGTAATTCTTTTAATTTCTAGTCACTTGTTAAGATCTGCAGCATTAGCATATCCACCTGTGTTATAATTTGATGCCATTTTTGAGAAACCTGAAGCTTCATACCACCTATGTAGTGAATGCATGTTTGTATAACAGGGAGTCCTGTGCAGGGAATGGGGCTGTAAGGAACCTCCTCAGAGTGCTTTCCAGTGTAAGATACACTTGGCTTCCAATAAAAGTGTGAAAAAGATGCCTTCATCTTTTTCCAGTATCACCAATCACCCAGGTAACTTGTGGATGAGACTTCTGTATGTCTTGAGCTGGTAAATGTTCAGGAAGGTTTTGTTACAGAGTAGTTATTTTAGCTGTTTTAAAAGGTCACTTTTCCAGATGTGAACGTTAGTTTTCATCTAATAACCTAAATCTTAGCAATAAATAAAGGATGTAGGGCTAGAAAGGACCTATTTAAGTTGACTGCCAGGCCCTAGGAAAGTCAAGCACTAGTGCTGTCACTAGATGCTTACACTATTGGTATGTGCAATACCTGGTGTTCTGTAGCCTTTCTGGGTTGGTCAGGTTGGTGATTAATTAGCTCAAATTCAAAAATTTTTCCTGATATGACTTAGTCTTTCCTCCTGGGTAATGTTTTTTAGTAATCAAGTAGTTTTTGTTATTCTTTTAGATCTCTCCAGCTGACCAGATCTCTCCAGATGAGCACATCTTCCTTG